TGACTCAGGGGTGAACCCCCCTGAGGAAGAGACATATCACAAAGATGCCCCTGCATTTCGTGATATGCCTGTGGTGAAGCGAGTTTAGTCCCTGCTGGCAGTCCACAGGTGAGACCTTCGCTTGGAGTCGAAGGAGAGCCAAGAGGGGTGAAAGGAGACCCCCTTGTGTCTTAAGACCCTTCGTTTGGAGACGACGGGCCAAGGGGCTTGGAGATCCCCTTGTGTGTATTGAAAGAAATCCAGCTATCAGCTGCATGCATGTGAAGAGGACAGATGACTGCTGCTGTAGAGAAACTGCTCAGAGACTAGAAGGGATCTGTCCTTCTTCCCTCCTGGACTTTTATTTGGAGGGGAGAAGAGATCTGATCCATTGTAAATACTTATGTCATGGTAGAGATAGTTGTGATCGTGTGTATAATGTATTATAATATTTATTTGTACAGTCATTGTAATATATTCCTTTTCCCCCACTTTGAGTCTGGTGTTTTGTCTGAAAAAAAATCATCCCACATTAGGTTGAGAGGTGGGAGGGGGCTTAGACTAGGGAATTAGAATTTTGGGGATCTCAAACCATGACAAATGTGTAGCTACCCTGCAGCTAATTGTGCAAATATTGGTCAAGAGGAGCCTTCCTGCACACAAAGGAGGAGACTCAGCTCTTGAGCAAACCCTGCAACATTGAAACTACAAAACCAGAGAAGCATCCTAAGAATGACCCCTGTCTTTGTGTTTACCTTTACTCCTGCCCTAACTCACCTCCTGAGCCCTGCCTTGCTGATTGGTTCCCACAGACGAACCCCACAAAGAAAATGGGAATTAGGGAAGCCTACAGTAAATGCAGCAGCTACACCCAACAGCCACTGGCTCACCCAGGAGCCCAAAGGCAGCCCAGTGCTTTTCGGCAATTAGAGCTCGAAGCTGCTGCTGTGCAAGAGCCAAGGAGAGCACAACTGCTCAGGGCAAGGCACATGGGGAGCAGGTCTGGCTGTGGGAACCCACCGGGATGAGTATCAGCCACACACAGATATTGCCCAAACCATTAAACAGAAGTTTATGTTCCAAAGATAACACAAGTAGTCACTTACCAACTGACTAATGTGTGTCTGTCCTAGTTAGAACAACTGGGACCAGTTCATCACTGTATGGGTGTAACCCAAAACTGTGTATTCTATAGCCTTCCATGCTGTTTTCTCAGAAACTGTTATCAATAGACCATTTACACCACCTGCCCAGAGCACGCCTGACCTCTCAGGCTATAAGCTGGGTGTTAAGAGGCCTGCGAGATAGGAGGATGCTCCTGTCCTCACAGCCATTGTGGAACTCCCTGCCCTGAGGCAGGTACTGGGCATTCCTGCCTGAACCTGAGAATATATATAATCTTGGAGTCTTGGGACTTTTTTACCACTCGTGGGATCCAGAGAAGGACTGTGACCACCACTCTCGACCGGACTGCAACAGCACTCTCACCAACAGGTTTTCCCTCTCCTTTTACTTTGGACTCAGGGGGCCCAACGAACACCACTCTATTCATGCCCCAGGGTGCTGGGTTATACGTTTGGGTTTTGTGGGTTAAAACCAATTGTTTGTCTGTATAATTCTATTTACTGTATTATTTAATTGTTATTCCGATTTATAATCTCTCTTTTGAGTTGGGTTCATTTCCCCTGCCGGTTTACCTTTAAACCAGCACAGTGTCAGGACCCAGCCCCTCCCTGGATGAACTACCCAAGCCCTGGGTCCCAGCAGTGGCCCAAAAGACTCACATTGTTTTCCTTCACTGAGGAGATCACTGGGGGTGGGAAACACCCCTCTCAAGCCCTTTCCATGGGACAGCAGTGTCACAGCAACAGGCAGGGGATGGAGAGGAGCAGCAAAGCAGAAATCCCAAAGGCATCTGCCCAAGGAGTTTTCCGTCTCATGCAGAAACCATCAAGGCAGTCGCAATTGCAGGGAGTTGGAAGGAACTGATCTTTCAGGTCCCTTCCAAACCAAAGCATTCTGGGACTGTATTAACACTTAATCCTAAAAAAAAAAAAGTAAAAGAAAAAAGTCAGCTTATGCCTGAGCTAGAAGTTTGAAAGAGGATTGTACATGAAATACAGCAATAGCTGAACAACACAGCACACATGTCCTTGGCCCACAAACACTACCAAAGGTGTGTGATACATGCTGGCAAATTATTTCATGATAATCTCACTATGGCACAAACAGGAAAAAGCACCACAGAACAATGAGGCTGCTCAGTGTTTTTAGTGGTCACCAACCATGTTGACAAAATCAGTGTTCTAAAAATATTTTAGCTCCTTGTACCAAAGCACAAAAAAAGAAAAGAAAAGAAAAGAAAAGAAAAGAAAAGAAAAGAAAAGAAAAGAAAAGAAAAGAAAAGAAAAGAAAAGAAAAGAAAAGAAAAGAAAAGGTTCCTTATTTATGGTAGTCATTAATTTATTTTTCTCAAGAGGCCAGAAAAATACACAGCTAAATGTTTTAAGATGTACAGGCCAGTGAAACTGAGGGGGAAAGGGGCAAGAATAAAAAAGCAGGGGGAACCAGCCAGGAGATGGGAGAAAGTTTTACAGCAAAGCATGGAATTCTCAGGGCAGAGTGACTTTTCATGGCAAGCACACGCTACAACAAGTGTGAGAAGACAGAAATGTAAAAACAAAAGCCTAAACCCCAAAATTGCATAGGCACTGCTTGAACTGCCCTTCTCAGAGACTTTTGGGGAGCACATCAGCTCTCCCCTCAAAGCCTTTTGGAAACGGAACTAAAACATCCCACATAAAGAACCATTTACCTTGTAACAACGTCCACAGTCCCACACTGCACATAAAGGACCAGGTCCCTTGTAACATCCACAGTTACGCATTGCACATACAGGACCAGGTCTCTTATAACAACATCCACAACAAGACATGCCACCAGGTCCCTTGTAACAGCGAAACACTTTCCCTTGTCACGTGCCCCCCCTTTTCCATGCCTGTGTTCCCATCTGTACCCATCGACGCCAGGAGCCCGAAGCGTCGGAAAACACACATTCCCAGGCTGCAGCTCCCAAGAGATGACGCAGCTATTCAAGCGCACGCCTGCGGGCAGGGGAGCACTTACCTGGGGGGCCGCCGGCCCCTCCACCTCTCCCCCGCGCGGCCCCTGACCGCGGATGCCCAGCCCCCTGGGCCGCGCTCCGCCACGAGGAACGGTGGGCAGGATCCGGCAAGTGCCGGGACGCCAGGCACGTGCACCCGCGGCACCGGCAGCAGCGGGTGCGGGTTTCTCCTCGGCAGGCCGCGGGGCGGAGGGTGAGGATTCCCTCCACTGGCGCAGCCAAGAAATCGGCCCGCCGCTCCCCCTCTCCCAGCCTCTGAGAGGTGGCGGTTCTCTGGGAGCACACGTGGAAGCGACGCCGCCTGCCCTCCGAGTGTGGGACAGCACACCTGCCGTGACTCCCCTCTCTCCAAAGAGCTTCCACCGAGCAATCACTGGAAAGACCCAAATTCCAGGATTTGAGGCGCTTTGAATGTTGCTGTGATGCACCTCGTTCAACCAGACATATCCCTGGGAACGATTCAGCCCCAAAATCTCCCTCCCTTTTTGGGTTGAAAACCGGTCCAGCAGCAGGAGGCTGCCCTTGCCCGTGTGAGCCACCTCGCCCTGTCCTGAGCTGAGCTCACACCTCCAGAGAGGTGTCTGTGCCACATTTGTCTCTCTGCAGGGGCTTCAACAACCAACAGCACAGAAAACAGAGCTGCCCGCGGGAGAGGCTGGCTGGGGCAGCTGATCCCTGGCTCGGCGGCTCTTCTCGTGCCGACCTAGACGTGACTGCCGCCGCGCCCACTCCAGTGCACCTCCCTACTTTACTGCCAGCCGCTGCTGGTGGAGCGCAGCCCTGCACGGGGGCTTTGTCCGCAAGCTCTGTGCTACCTCCTTCCCACCTGGGGACAGGAGAAGCCGCAGGACGGGTCATTCCATGAGAGGGGAGTTACCGACGAGCCCCCGCACGGAACGGGCCCTGAGCGCTCCACAGTGAGCCCTGCCACCCCCGGGAGCCGAGCCGAGCCGAGCCCCAACCAGCCACCGCAGCGCCCCGGACACGCCCGCACACCTCCGGCTACTTGCCGGTCCCGCGGGCGTCCTCCGCAACCCCGCGACGGGCCACTTCGCCAAGAGCGGCGCTGCGTCGGCAACCGGGTCTCGGCGCGCGATTTAAAGAGGCGCTGGAGAGGAGCCGGGGCGCCCAGCCAGGAGCTTTTTGGACTGAGCTGTTTTTGGGTGGGCGGTGTTTTGGGGGCAACTGCGCCACACCTCCCTTGGTAACAGCCCCCCCCAGTTCGCTGCACCCAGCTTGCACTCCCCGCACCTCCTTGCTCAGCTTCCGGCGGGATTTTGTGCCCTCCTTGAAGGTCTGGCAAATGTCTCAAAAACGGAGTCGGGAAGCCACCTCCCCGTTCTTTCTTTTCCAAGCCTTTTCTTGGCCCAGCACCGCAGCGGGTTCGAAAGGAAACCAAAAACGTGGGAAAAAAAAACCCCAAAATCGCACGGTTGCCAACTCCCAGGCTTCCTCCACTTAAGCCCAGAGACTTGCAAAGCCCCTGGGCACCGCCGCGGCTTCCCCACCGTCGCCCGACACCTCCGACGTCCCGCACGCCGCTCCCACTTGCCCGCCCTCGAAACACAAGGAACAACCCCCCTTGCCCCCCAGCACAGGCGGTCCCTCCCTGGCAGCTCTGCAGGAAGGGCCGGAGCGGGCCGCAGCCCTAAACGGACGGCGGGCCGCGCCGGAGAGCGCGCGGGGCGGGTCCGCGGCTGCGACCCCGCGGGGAAAGGGACCCCCGGCCGGCCCCGTCCCCGCCGCTGGCCCTGCTCGGCCACCGCCCCTCGCCCACAGTTTTAACGTTATAGAGCCAAGATTTAATCCAGAGCACCAGAAGCTCCCAAGTGCGGGGGATTTCCATAGACTTGTTACTTTTCTCTTTTTAATGACTGCGTTGCCAAAGTTAGGGAAATACAATCAGCATTCCCTAAACACCATCACTTCCATATCCACCTGCGATCAGGGGCCGATGAGCAACAGCCTGCGCTGGACGGGCTGCAGGGATGGTGTGAAGGCCACTGTTCCCCAGGTTTGAAGGACTCTGGCCATGAACCCCGGCCCATGGACAGAAAGCCCAGAGCCAACAGGAACTCCAGCCAGCTGCAGGCAGATGTTACTCCTTCCCAGTTTGCCGGGGGTGGGGGCAAAGGTGCTCTTCCCTGTCCAGCAGTGGCAGTCGTCCCCTGGGCAGAGCCTACCCTGATCCTCAGCCTAGTGGGAGGACATCCCCTTGTCACAGCCCACTTCCTGCAGAGAAAAAAGGGAAATATTGCACATCAGGAAGACCTTCTTCCCTAGGAAGGTGGGGAGGCCCTGGCACAGGTTGCACAGAGAAGCTGTGGCTGCCCCATCCCTGGAAGTGTCCAAGGCCAGGCTGGACAGTCTAGTGGAAGGTGTCCCTGCTCATGGCAAGGGGTGGAAGGAGATGATCCCCAAGGTCCCTTCCAACCCAAACCACTCCAGGATGCCAGGATGATTCCACACTCTCTCCCTGCATTTATTTTGTGTCATTTCCTCTCAAAAACAAAATCTCCAAATTAGTTGTTTTGGCCATAATTTTAAAATCATTCCAGGAATAAAAAGGACTGTAAAACATACAGAATTCATTCCCATCAAATCATTATTAATTGGAACACTACTCCCTCATCGCTGTCCTTGTTTTCCTTGGCTGGAAAACCTGATGATCCCCACTGGCTATTTTTAGGGTGGTTTTCTTTCTCCCAGCTGAAACCTCCTGGGATATTCAGGGCTTATTTGGAGGTAAGCCCCTCTGAGGTATTTCCTCTCATGCTAATTCTGTGGAATGAGGTACATAAAGCAAGTGAAGACTTCATTCTACCCCCTTGCTTCGCAAACACCCTCCCAGTTTGTCCTTGGCAGCTCCACCCCTGCAACACTCACACCTGACGCTTCAGCTCCGCTGGGAAAGGGACAGCAAGTGCAGAAGGAAGTTCACTGCTGTGCAGGGGCTCCCTGGGGAACGGCACTTCAGTGGTTTAGTCCATGGCTTTTGCTGGTGCTCTCCCTCCTGGACGCAGAGGATGACCCAGACATTGCTCTCTCCCTTGTTTCTCCCACACTTGCATACCCAGGTCCTGCTCTTTTGGCCCCCCCCTCAGGGGCTGCATTTTGACAGCAGGATTCTCCCACTTTTCAGCAGACCAGGGATCATTTCCCAGGGTCCCCAGGAAATTTCTGCAGCTGACCCATAACTAAGTGCAGAGCACAGGACAAGGGAAGTACAAATTTCTCAGCACCCATCACCTGGAATTTTCCTTCTCTGCAGCACGCTCCCGTTCCCGCTGTCTCTGGAGGTGCTCGCACGAGTCCTCCTTGTCCCAGCCCTGCCAAACTGACACACGCACAGGAGAAATCAACAGGTTTTACTTGCACAATTGCCGACCCTAACCCTGACCTGTCCTGCCCAGAGCTGAGGAAAATCTGACGGAATATTAATAAACCTTTGTTAAGAGCAGTCATCAGCCCTGACTTTCAGGCTTTGCAGGACTTTGTAGGGAATAGACCCAAATTCAAATCCTACCTCTAACTTTCCAATAGGTTTTGTCGGAGAGATTCTGGACAGCAACTAAGACGGAAAGAAAAAACTGCATAAGGAGTAACAGAAGGTTTGCCATGAAGAACAGAAGTTCCTGTCCTCCCTCATCAGGCTGGGACTGTAAGGCCCAGTCTTTGCCATCAAGAGACAATAGTGTTGTCATTAAGACTTAAGCCTCTCCCACATGGTTATATCTCAGAACTGGGCCAGCACTCCCATGTGCCTGCAGCGCTTTGGGGAAGGGCAAGGCAACCTCCCACTTCTGCTTGAAAACATTCAAGAGAATTTTGGCCCAGGACAAACTCAATCACCTCCATCGCTGCTCCATCCCACATCTGGGGGAATATTCATACAGTTTAGAAATACTCCCTTTCCCTGCTTCTCAGTCCATCCTTACACATCCGTGGAACACATTTACTTCACCCTTTGTTCCCAACAACAACTCTCCAGCTCAAATCCCAGCTCCCACAGACACAAACTAAACACACCTAAGGCAATGGTTCCATCAGCACCTGGAATTCCGAGCTCCTCGTTCCCTGCATTGCTCATCCCAACACTCACAGCCCACAGGCTCTCTGTCCTCAGAGGGAAACACAACCCAGTGGGACACAGCTCTGGCACCACACTTCCTCTCATTCCTGGTGTCCTGCAAACCCACAGGGAAATCCAATCCCTTAGACTCTGCAGCCCTGGACACGAGGGTAACCGGAGTTTGACCCGGATCCTGGTGCCCTGGACAAGTGTGTTCCCACGAGCACAAGCCCGTGGCTCCATCCAGCCCTCCTTTCCCCCCAGGGAGTCCCAAACCCTCCCCCAGCTCCCCTGCATCTGTCCCTCGGCCCAGCCCAGCTCCAGGCTCTCCCCCAGCGCTGTGTCAACTCCATCCCTGGTACAGCTGCAAACACTCCCCGAGCTTGGCCCCCCGGCCTCCTGAACCCCCACACCAATGCTCAGACTCACCAACAGGGACTGACCTGCCCCTCTCAGCACAGCCCAACCCCACAGCTCTGTGACCCCACATTCACCTGGCCCTTGGCCCCTTCCCTTCCTCTTGACCCTTCCCAGCACACATGGCAAAGACCAGCCTGGAGTGGGAAACAGAGCCATTTCCCAGAGAGCTAATGCCAACAGCCAGGAGAAGAGAAATGTGTCCCTCTGACTTACCCCACCCCACGGGCAGGACCAGGTGCCCCCAGTGCTGGTCATCGGGGCTGGAGCCTGTTGCCTGTGGCTGCTCACACTCCAACGCATTTGGCATCGCTGGACCCAAGGCAATGATTTTCCTTGTCCTGAAAGAGAGGAGCACAAGAAAATTACGTGCACTGCGGAAGTCAAAGACTCCTAGCTTCCACCTTTCTGTTCTGATTACTCACTAGAGGGGTTTCTTCCCTAAAACCTGCTCTTACCTATGAAAAGCTGAGCAATTCACAGAGTTGCTGTTTGTATCCCAGCTTCCCAAAGGATTTCTCTCTCCCGGCAGCAGCAGCACTTCATGCTCCACAGGAAGCCCTAAGTGAGGCTGGGAATTGACACAGAACAAGCCAAAAGCATTAACTCAGCACCAGAACACTAAACAATAAAGCAATTTAGAGTCACCTTTGTCTCATCCCCCCACGCAGGCAGAGGCTTTGGGATTCCAGGGCAAACCCAGAGATCACCAGAGAGCAGCAGCCCCTCAGTCCCACTACGGCCTCCCCTGGGATCCCCCGGCTGGGAACCGGCCTACCCAGCCCCTGCTGTGCTGTGCAGCACAGCACGTGGGGGGATGACTTTTGGGATCCCTCCCCGGCCGCTGCAGAGCAATGCAGGCATTGGGGCCAAGACCTGCCCAGCCCCCAGGCACTGCAGACAGTTCAGCCCCAGTAGCAGTGGGATTTTCTGCCTCTTGCTCCCCTCTCATTGGGAACTGAATGGTGAGGAACAAGCTCTGAGCAGACAGTGTGGCACCAGCACTAGGCACAATCAACACCAAGCAGCTTGGCTGGGCAGAGGCTGGCAGAGGCTTGGCAGAGGCCTGGGCCTTCCTAGTCCAGGCTCTGGGCTTCCTCTGCTTTCTTCCACTGCAATTATCCTGTCCTGGGAAGTGTTAAAACACAGACTGCTCAGTGAGACGTGTCCTGAAAGAGAAATCAATTCCAACTACAGAAAATCTCAGTGCCACACTTTGAAACTCTTCAGCAAGGCTCCTGGCAAAGCTGAGGTGTGATTACCTGGAGTCCCAGGGAACTGAGGGGAAGCTCGGGAACGAGCAAAGAGCAAACAGCTTCGGCTGCTTCTCACTCCAGGCCCTACAGCAAGTGTAGTTTCCCTGGGATTTCATGTCCCTTGTGTCTCTTCCGAGCCCAACGGGTGAACAAACGGGCACTCCAAGATACACTTCCTCTATACCTGAGTCAGCACAGACCCCCCCCGAGGAACTGGAATCCCAGGGCACATCTGAACACGGTCTTCCCGCCTGCCGCTCTCTCCGCACGTTCTCCTTCCAGCGGGATGCAGATGCGGCTCCCCAGAGGCAAGAAAACTGCCTGTCGTCCCCAGGGGACTTCTTCTGCCAGGGGAGAGGCAGAAGAGCGGCCGCGTCCCCGCCGGGCCCTGCTTACCCCAGGGCTCCTGCAGAGCCTGACGTTGTATCTGCCGCCCTGTGCCGTTTTCTCTGGGGGGGGGACCGCCGCGCAGCCCGATAGCATCGCCACGGCAACCGCAGGACCGAGCGGGGCGGGAGCGGCGGGACGCGGAGAAAGGGACGGGGCGGGAGAGTAACGGGAGAGGGGCGCCGAGCGCGGCCGCGGAGCCTCCTAAGCGTCGGGCCGCGCTCTGCTAGGGTCTTCGCGCCTGAGCCGCGTCCCCGGACTGGGGCTGCCCGAGCCAGTGCCTGCCGCCGCCCGAGAACCTGCCGCCCGCACCCCGGCGCCGGCGAGCGCCCCACCCTGTCCCCACAGTGGGGAAGCACCGCGCCAAGACGGCGCTGCGAGCACGGGGTGGGGTCGGGGACGGCGGTGAAGCTCAGGCAAGCGGAAGCACGCCTCTCTGAGGCGAGGGGGCCTCGTCCGCCATTTTTGGTGTGACCTTGGAGGACTTCCGGTCCGGGCAGCGTCATCTTTAGTGTGGCCTTGGAGAACTTGCCAAAGAGCGCCATCTTTAGTATGGCATTGGAGGACTTCTGGTCCGGGGGGCGCCATCTTTTGTACGGCACTGGAGGACTTTCGCTCAGGGGACTGCCCTGACTTCCGGTCCCCGATTTTACCCTCAGAATGTCCCTCACTAATTTCCGCGGTTTTATCTCAAAATGTTCATTTTATTTCCCCCCCCCCAGGAGAGACGGGAGATCATAGGTCCCGGCGTGCCCTGGGAACAGGCCAGGCCCCATTGCGGCCGCTCCTTCCCCGCTCGGTGCCGGCCCGGCCGCCCTCCCCGCGGGCTCCGCTGGGCCGCTGCCTGTTTGCCGTTCTCCGCTGCCCCTCCCCTCGGTGCGCGCGCGACCGGAGGGACTTAAGGACAGCCGCGGCAGGCACTGCGCAGGTCCCTTCGCTACAGTGCTACCCCTGTATCAGGCAGCACTGCAGAGTCATCAAAGTCACTGCGCATGCGTCATCTGTACAGGGCCGCCCTTAGTGACCACGTGACCGAGGGGGTCTTGCAAATGACAGCGCATGCGCGAAAGCCACTGCCTTGGATCCTTTTGTTACTGAGCATGCGCCAAATCATCGCCATTTTGCCCTTTCTTATCACGTGACACTCGGCTTTGGTGGAGCAAGTGCGCATGCGTACCACTCTTTGCTGCAGTACCGCTTTCTGTCACGAGGTGTCACGCGCGAGTACCCCGAGGTCACCACCAGGCGGCAGCAGCAGCGATTCCCGTCCGTTCCTTTTAATATTCTTTATTTTTTTATTATAAAGCTGTTATGCTGATGACGCCGCCCTTGTTGCCCACACAGAAGCAGCTCTGCAGCGTTTAACATCCTGCTTTGCAGATGCTGCTGAACTCTTTGGGCTGAAAGTCAGCTTAAAGAAGACAGAAGTTCTCTATCAACCTGCACCTCAGGAAGTCCCCCATCATCCCCACATCACCATTGGCAATCAGAGCTCAAATCAGTCCAGCAGTTTAATTACCTAGGTAGCCTCATCTCCTCAGATGGTAAGATTGACGCAGAGATAGACAACAGGTTAGCAAAGGCATATAGTGCTTTTGGAAAACTCCATAAAAGAGTTTGGTGAAATAAACACTTGAAGAAAAGTACAAAGATCAGTGTTTACAGAGCCATAGTGTTGTCTACTCTCTTATATGGATCTGAATCTTGGGTCATCTACCACCACCACCTGCGACTCCTCGAACACTTCCATCAACGCTGCCTCCGTACGATCCTAAACATCCACTGGTCAGATGATGTGACCAATCCATCTGTTCTAGAACAACCAGCAGTCACAAGTATTGAGGCCATGTTGCTGAGAACACAGCTGGGCTGGGCAGGGCACGGCTCCAGGATGAAGGACCAACCACCGCCTCCCTAAGATCTTCCTTTATGGTGAACTTGCCACCGGCTGCCACATGAGAGGAGCCCCAAAGAGACGATACAAGGACTGCCTGAAACAACATCTCAGCCTCGGCCACATTGATCATCATAACTGGTCTACTCTGGTCTCAAACCGGGAGGTCTGGAGACACGCCGCCTGTAACGCTGCTGTTTCCTTTGAGAGCGCACGCAGGATCACCCTTGAGGAGAAAAGACATTGCAGAAAGAATCGTGTCTTGCAGAATATACCACCTAAGGAGTCTTTCTGCTGTGCCTTTTGCAATCGGATATGTCTATCTCGTATTGGCCTTTTTAGCCACCAGTGTGCTTGTAACAAATGTGGATAGAGCCTTCCTAAATCTTCGTTTGCGAAGCCTGGCCATGACTTTTTTATTATATATATTTTTCAATTCTGTTATTTTATTTTATTTCCTATATTTTATTTCATTTTTTCTTTTGTTTTTCTTTTGTTTTTATTTTTTAATTTCTTTTATTATTTTTTTTAGTTGTATTATTTTTATTTTACTTTTTTTTTAGGAGATTTTTGGGTTTTTTACTCTTTTCTTTAAAAGCTTTGTGAGGTGATCAGGTCCCCCTATGCTGTGTCATGAGAGGGGCAGAAAGCGAGGGTCCCCTGGATCCCCAAAATGCAGGGTGGGGACATTATTGGGGTCCCTTCTGGAACCCCTCCCTATTTTGGGGATCCCTACCCACTTTTGGGGGGGGGGGGGTTCTCTGACGTTTTAGGGCCCCTCCCTGTCATTTTTGGGGGTCCCCACTGTCTTAGCTTAACAAGAATACAATTTAGAAATTAAGACACTTAGGTGGAAGTGTGGAAAAGGAAAATAACAGCTTTTTATTAACAAAATCTGAATAAACAACTGTGGTGGTTTCACTCTAGGCCTTCCTGGAGACCAACTTGTAACCAGGAAGGAACTAGAAAAGTGATCACGGAAGTATTCCATGCTATTCCTTTAGGTAACTTGAGGTATAAATAAAGCCAGCGGGAGGCATCTCGCTCTCTTCCTTTCCGGCGAGGTTCGAGAACGGCGGGTCCCTGTTTTGGTCTGGTTTATCTGGAGCCGAGGCCTACAGTGACTACTGTTATCTGCCACGCGTGAGGGGAGAGCCTTGGGCCGTGTCTAGCCATCCTGCCTGTTCGAAGGGAAGTGGTGAGATTTTTGCTAGTTTGCCTTCGGTCGGCTGGTTGGCTTGTTCGGTCCTTGCCCCTTTTTGTCCTTCTCCCTTCCCCTTCCCCCCCCACTCCTCCTGGTGTGTGGTATTCTCCTTTTGTGTATCTGTCTCATATGTTATATATATATATATATATATATTTGCTATAGCTTTGGCTGCTTGGTTTTTCTTTTCCCTCTCTGGGAGGTGGGTCCTTGTTGTCGAGTTTCGCGGGACTTGGCAGGAAGCCAGCTCGAAACTTGCACAACATTTTTGGTGTCAGGAGTGGGATATTTTGGTTAAGTTTGGCTTGTTTTGATAAACATTTTTCCAGGAAGACAGCCAAGCTCGGTGTTGTTTTGCAAAACCAATCTATTGTTTTGGGAACAGGTCTGGGAACACTGCCAGAGTCTGGGAAAGCAGCCAAGGAAACTTTGTTTATATAAACAAAGGTTTGTTTTGGGATCAAGAAGAAATAATAACAAAAAACAATGGCTATTTCATTAATTTTTCTTATAATTCTAGCCATCTTTACACCTGTGTTAGGCTACCGTATAGGGAGACGTCCAGACCTTGAGGATGGATGGAACGAATTGCTTCCATCCTTTAATTTTGACATCGAAGGTTTGGTAAAGGAAATCCCCATGGTTAAAATCGGCTCTAATTACTATATAAATCTTATTGCAACAGTACTGTCATTGATAAAGGTACTGGAAGTGCTACTTAAACTTGGAAGAATGGGGTTCCGTTGCCTTCCCTCTTGTAGGAAAGATCACACCTCAAAGGGACTCACTGGAACTTTGGAAAGGGCTGCAGACAGGCCAGTCCCCGGGTGGCATGGAGCTTGGGGAGATTTCGGTAGATTAGTAGGACATGTGTCACCCCCCATTAATTGGGAGTTCACACCAGAACAAATGTTTGATTCTGGTGAGATGGCCCACTGTTTGGCAGAAGGGTGTTTTTCCTACAAAGATCCGAATATGCAATTCTCCGCTTTGTGCTGGGGCCTGGCTAATGCTTATCGAGCTGCCATAGACCACCTTCAAAGGGTTAAGGTCGACACAGAAACCCAAACCACGCCACTTGAAACCAGTGATGTCCCTATTAGGTCCACAGAAGTTGGGGTCCAAACACAACTTGAAGTCAATGCCATTTCTACTAAGCCCACTAGAACCAGGACTCAAGCTAAGAACCGGAAGGTCATCATTGCCCCTATGAAGAAGAAGAAGACGTGGGTAAGAGAGATCAAGGAACTTACAGACTCATCTCCCCAACCAGAACGCACAGAAGAAAGAGAAGAAGAAGAAGAAGAAGAAGAAGAAGGAACAGAAGAACCTATCCAATTCACTCAAGATGTAGTGGACGAAGGAGCGGCAGCAATGGGAGAAGGAGCAACAGCAAGTGATGAAGGCGCGACTGCGAGAGAGGAAGTAGTGGTTGTGACTGAGGAAGGAGCGATTGGAAGAGAAGAAGCAGGTACCAGAGAGGAAGAAACGGCTACACGGGAAGGAGCACGTCCAAAAGAACTAGGGACACGCCCAAAGGAATACAGAACAGCATCAAGAGAAAAGAAAGCAACAGTACAAACGGCCGGTGGTATATTGTCACTTGATGATTTATATCCTGACTACACATTCAGTGTTACAAAAGACGCAAAGAAGGAGCCAAAGCATCCCCCTCAATTGGAGGGGGAATTATCCCTACCCCTCCAGACCCAACCTTCTCTTGGAGGTGTGAATGATTGGAGGAGGAGGCCCTTATCTCAGCACGCGAAAGATTACTCACTACCTCCACCCGCGGGGTATCGCGAACGACGCAGGAGTCCATCCCCACGGCGTGAATGGCATAGAAGTCCATCTCCACGGCGTGAACGACGCAGAAGTCCATCTCCGCGGCGTGAACGGCGTAGGAGTCCATCCCCACGGTATGAACAACGTAGAAGTCCATCTCCACGGCGTGAACGGCATAGGAGTCCATCCCCACGGTATGAACGGCATAGGAAA